CCAGAGTGAAATGGAAGGGTCAGAAGGACATGAGAGACAAGTGTGGGGTCAGCCGGGCAACAGGGGCAACTGTCTCATCCTCCTCTTTTTCAAGTTTGCAGAGCAGAGGTCGCTGTGAGGAGGGGGGCCGGGGGGGAGAGCCAGGGAGGAGTGGAAGACACTCAGCCGGAGGAGGCCAGGGGCAGACACTAGAACCTCCAGGTCTTAGGGGCCAGACAGGCGAAGCAGTGCGTTGGAAGACGCGAGAGGAAGGGCGTGGTCTGCGAGGAAGTACGCAACGGGGCGTGGCCACGGTGGGGGCAGGAGGCTTCCCTTTTCTCCAGAAAGGAGAGAAGGTATCTATTTAGGGAAGGGGAAGAGAGGGGTTGTGACACAGTGGGGCTGGGCCAAGGACATACCTGACGTGATGGGGAGGGAAGTATGCAGCCGAAGGGACGGCTGGGGCCTAGAGACCGAGGTGAGGGTGACGCAAACGTGGGGGCATGGAAGAGACGCTTTCACTGCCCCGTAGGCAGAATATTCGGGCATGGGGCTTGGGCAAGGGGGGGGCATCGTCAACAGCTACGTCTAGGACCAAGGAAGGGAGTGCCCGGGCGGGTTCGACGTGGCCCTATCCAGGCCAGGAAAGAAGCGCACAGTCCGGGTTTAGAACCTCGGGACTGGGGCCTCGGGGGCGGAGTCAGGGTGGGCGTGATGCGAGGGGGCGGGGCCAGGATGTGGATGACGTCACCACTCGCGCGGGTCAGCTGTGGCCGAGGGCAGGGCAGCAGGAATTCGAGTGGGGTTGGGGGCTGGGGTCTGAGAACTGCGGGTGGCGGTTCCCTCAGTCCCTGGGGGCGGGCCTCACCTGTGCCACGTGGATGAACTTGTCCAGCACCTGCGCGCGCTGTGCCGGCCCGGGACGGCTCAGCACCATGACCTGCACCCAGCGGGACACGCTGTTGCTGAGGCCTACGGATCCCTCCAGGGCCGGGCAGCCCCGCACGGAGCCCTGCAAAACGTAGCCCCGCAGATCCTGGGGCTGGGGGTGAGGTGGGCATCAGGGTGGGCAGGGGTGCCGCGGCCTTGCCCTCACACGCCCATCCCCCTAGCAGTCGTGACCCCTGAGGCCCTAGTCTGGCTGTCACATGTCCTTGACGTCACCGTGGCCCTCTCTCTCTGAAGAGAAATATTTAAATAAAGTCAGGCACTGTTCTCAGTCCTTTGTTATATTAACTAATTTAATCCTCACATCAACTCTACGAAGTGAATATCGTGACTATATTATTCACATTTTAGAGATGAGACTGTCGAGGCACAGAGAAGATAACTTGCCCAGGGTCACACAGGCGAGAGTCCGGGTGGGAACCCAGTCTGTTGCCCCTACCTGTATACCTGCCTGGTATGCAGTCAGCAAAAGGAAGAATGGCAAAGAGACACAAAAGCGATTTCTATTTGTTCTGCTCAAGGGGTCAACATTCCATGCCCACATGTACTGCACATGTGTGTGTGTGAACAATCAGGATATTTCCAGATGAAGGAACTGGTGGTGACCTTCCCTTGAAGTGGCGATGGCAATAGCTAATACTTACACACACACACACACACACACACACACACGCACTTATATATACCATAAGTATACTTATATAGAGGTTGAAGCATATGAAATGATCATTTGGGTAGGTAAAACATGGCAAAATACTACAATTTCAAATGGTTCTACCAGATAGCATTCAGTCTGGACCGGGCACTGATCCTACGAGGCAGGAACTGTGAAATCCCCCCTTTTTATAGATAATGGAACTGAGGCACAGTGAACTTCAATGCCTCCCGAATAAATTAATAATTAACAAAATATTCTGAGCACTTACTTACTACTGTGCCAGGTAGTGTGACAAGCATTTTTAAGCGGACATTTTAATTGAATTCTCCTGACCATCTACTGAGGTATGGGGACCGCCATCTTACAAATGAGACACGTGAGTCCCAGAGAGGCTGAGAAACGAATTCAAAGTTACACAGATAAGGAGGGGCTGCTGGATTTGAACCCAGGGGTTCTGTCCTCAGTCAGCTTAACTCCTTTTACTGAACCTTCTGGCACCCATCTTGAGAGTCTGAGATCCCTGCTCAAAGCCCATGCCCGGGCCCTCTGACTCTTGGAGGCTCCCCCACTCCTAGCCCTTCCCAGCTCGGGGAGGGCGTCCTCACCGTGATAGCCTGGAAGGAGCGAAACTCCAGGTAAGTGAGATGCTGAGCCAGCTCCTCCGTCTCCAGGTGGTCGAAGAGCAAGGACACTTTGCGCTTTTTGCCGAGGCCTGGGCTGCTCAGAGGGGGCGGGGGGCCAGGGCCCCCGGGGCTCAGGCTGGGGGCAAAGAGGGGCAGGGTACTGGATGGGTGCGGGGTGGAGGATGTGAGGGTGAGGAGAGAGGCGGCCGAACGGGGGTGGGGAGGGCTGACTCACAGGGTGGAGGAGTCTCCCAGGTTCCTCTGGGCAGAGTTGCCCTCCTGCTCCACAGTGGCCCAGAAGCGCCCGATGACCTCTTCTAGCTGAGGCTCTTGATGCACTGTCTCCGGGTGTTGGGTCAGCCAGTACCTGCGGGTGGTTTAGAGACAGGGGTGGGGGTGGGCAAGGTCTCTAAAGGAGGTCTCTTGGGCTGAGGAATCTCGGGCCAGGGGTCTCTGGAAGGTCAGGGTTTGGAGAGGCCCCAGCCTAGGGCTGTCTCTAGAAGTGGGACAGGGGGCCTCTTAACACAGGCTGGGGGATCAGTGGAAGATAAGTTGGGGGGATCTCTTGGAGGTGGAATTGCTAGGAAGCAGGATAGTGGAGGGGTCTCAGGAACTAAGCCGGGGGCCTCTGAGGAGTGAAATTTGGGGAGAACAAGGTGAGGGGGTCTTAAAAGCTAGGCCGGGGTATGTGAGAGGTGGGGGTTTGGGGCATCAGAGCTAGAGGTCTCTGGGCATCAGGTGGGAGAGGGTCTCTAAGAGGTGAGGGTTCTAAGGGGCAGAACTGGGAGGGTCTTAGGAACCAAAGCGGGGCTGGTCTCAGAAGCGGTATTTGGGGGAGCAGGGCTTGGATCTGTGGGGGATTGGGCTGGAGAATCCCCGGGAGGTGTTTTTTGGGGGAAGGAGGCCGGTGGGGACCCCGGGTCATGGGAGTAGCGTTCTTGACCCCACCCTACCTGACCAGGTGGCAGATCTGCAGCCGCCTCAGCTCCTGTGTGTCCCCTGTGGCTTCCTGGTACTTGAGTTCCGGTCAAGGCTCTGCCAACCTGCCTGCTCACCCTGCCCCCATCTTCCAGACCCGCCCGTCTCTGCCCTCCGCCCTCCACCCGCTGCTCGTGGCCCTGGGAGGATATAAGGTCAGCAGGCGGGCAGCGAGGTGGGCGGAAGGCAGCACCCAGCTGTGCATGGCCAGCACCATGTTGAGAACGTGGTCCCCACGGCGCAGGCTGCCAGCTGAGTCTGGGGGCGGGAGGAGGGGACTCTGTGTCAGAATGGCTCCTGGACCAAAGACTGCAGAGTCTCCACAGCCAGTTGGACTAGCTGGTTCCGACTCCGGCTCTACCGGTGACTCCCTGCATGAACTAGGGCAAGCCACTTAGCCTCCTTAGGGTGTCTCAGTTTCCTGGTCTGTGCTGTGCGTAGACCAGCACAGTACCTGGCAAGTCATGGTGTGGATGGAAATAGCATCAGACCTCCTCCTCCTCCACATCTCGGGAAAAAGAAATGCACGTGTTTCTCTCATCCCTAATGTAGTGCTTGAGATTCACTCCGCACACCCTTGCTCCCATTTTATACCCCCGCCCCCCCAAACTGAGGCCTACAGAGAGGTGGGTGCTTTACCACCTGAGGGCCAGGGAGGCTGGCCAGGGAAGGGGACACTCACCGAAGGACTGAATACATTTCTCCAGCAGCTCATCTTCGCTGCAGCCGCCCTCATTCAGCATGCCCAGAGCCATGGAAGCCATGACCTTGCTGATTTCCCGGGGGCTGGGGCACGTCTTGTGGCGCCGGGCCTGTCGGGGCCGGCCCCGCCCCCCTGTCTTTGCTGGGCATTCCTGGTGGGACTTCCTGTGGGCACACCCCCCAGGGAATCATGGGAACCCCTTCCTTTGGGCCGACCCTCAGAATTCTTCTTGACCCCCAAGCCCCGAGGCATTATGGGAGAAGCTTTCCAAAGGCAAAGCCCCAGACGAAGCCTCCTGACCTACCATGGACTCATGGGAGAAAACCCCTGCAGTATTCCAGATAATGGGAGCCCTCTCTTACAGGTAAACTCAAAGGATTACTCCTGCCCCCCTCAGGGAATCGGGAGAAAAGACTCTCAAGACCACCCTGAACCCCCAGGAAATCATGGGAGAAGACCCCCGGGATTACTACAGACCCTACAGGGAATCATAAGAACTCCTTCCTCCAGGCATTGGCTCCAATTCCCCTTAACTATACAGTCCCAAGGCATTTTGGAGAGACTTCCTGTTGGCCGACCCCTGGGACGACTCTTGATCTCCCAGAGAATCATGGGAAAAGACCCCCCCCCAGAATCATTCCTGTCCTCCCCAGGTTCTGCCTTCAGGGAGACTCTTCCCAATTGCCCTTTGCTCTAAAGCACGGCCCGCTCCCTCCCTCAGCCCTCAGGAAAGCAGCAGACCCTGAGATCCCATCTGTCATCCCTCTCCCAGCTGGAGCCCCCACTGAGGTGACACACCCCACCCCAAGACAGTACTTTGGTGGGACCTGAGTCTTAGCCACCAGCCCGGGTCCCTGGATTCGGAGAGAAGATACAGGGGCAAAGTGGCCTCACCAGGGCTCTTCAGAGCTGGGCAGGGTCCCTGGGGCTGAGGCAGCTTCAAGGAAAGTTTAAAAATAACCCTCGCTCTGCCTTGTGCCTCCCTGAGGCTCGTGTTCCAGTTGGGGAAAGAGGGTAATGGAGAGTCAGGGGTGGTGGAGGAAGGAGGCAGCAGAATTCAGGGTGGCACGGCCTTGGCTCTCACAAAATGGGATTAGAGACACTTATGTTGGCTGTGTGACTTTGTGCTGGTCACTTCATTTCTCTGGGCTTCAGTTTCCCCATATGAAAAAGGAGAGTCGTCCTGAGACCTTCCCAAGGAATTTATTATTAACATTCAATGCCTTGCTCTTCAGAAGTGCTAAATAAAGGACTTAGTTCACTCAGGCTGTTAAGTGGCCAGAGATGGGAAAGTTGAACTTGAGATAGAGAGAAAGTGATGGGGCAAACCAAAAGCCAGGCCTGGGGCGTGGGGTGAAATCAGAGACTCTCGTAACGAAGGCATTGCCGTGTCCCAGGGGCATCATAAGGGTTCAGGGAATCAGTATTGACTGTGGTTAGCTGGTATCGACTGAGTTCTGAATACTTTTTATTTTTTATTTATTTTATTTTATTTTATTTTTTTCTTTCTCTTTTTCTTTTTCTTTTGGGGGTGCCTGGGTGGCTCAGCCGGTTAAGTGTCGGACTTGGGCTCAGGTCATGATCTCACGGGTCAGTGAGTTCGAGCCCCATGTCGGGCTCTGTGCTGACAGCTCAGAGCCTGGAGCCTGCTTCAGATTCTGTGTCTCCTTCTCTGCCCCTCCCCCGCTCACGCTCTGTGAGCGCTCTCTGTCTCTCTCACACACACAAAATTTTTTTAATGATTTTTTTATTTTTAAGTAATATCTATACCCAACATGAGGCGTGAATTCGCAATCCCGATATCAAGAGTCACATGATCCACCGACTGTGTCAGCCAGGCGCCCAGCAATGTGTTTTACAAGCCCTCCAGGGGGTTCTGATGCACACTTGGGCTTGAGAACCACTAGTCAGACTGTCTCACTGAGGACTTCTGGGAGGAAGACACCAGGGCACAGAGCAGTTAAGTGACTTACATAAGGTCACACAGCCAGAAAATGAGGTAGCCAGGTCTCCACCAGTAAACTGCTGGCTATTATAGGGAGGGGACCCCTTTACCCATCAGAGCCATGCCAGAGGAGGCCGGAGGAGCTACCCAGGCTAGGGACCCAGCCACCATCACGCCTGTGAGGACAGGAGAGCAAGCTTGCCCAGGTGACAGGAAGCCCATTCCAGAAGCTGCTAGGCCCTTACCTGTGGACCGGCTGCTCTCTGGAGTGTCTGGAGCAGCCAGGAGTGGTTTAAGAAGCAGGGGAGCCGCCATGCCCTGCGTCACACTCCCCTCCCCCGGGGCAGGGCCCTGCGGGAGCCTGGAGTTTCCAGTCCAGGGGCAGGGGGCAGCGAGGGAGCGACTGTGATGGGGAGCGAGGAGGACCCAAGGGAGGACAGAGACAGCCAATCTAGGGAGCAGGGATGAGTGGGGGCGGGGTAGCAGAGGATACAGAGCAGCTCAAACTCCGGAGACAGCGAGGACAAGACCCAGGGGCTCATACAAACAGTCCTGGCCCAGCCAGCGGCTCTGGACTCCCTGCAGCATCTTTCGCCTGGTGCCCCCTGCCCCTGCTCCTGTCGCTGAAGGAGCCCAACACCCTACCAGCCGCCTTAGTACTCCCCGGCCTTCCCACGCAGCCCGAGGCGCGCTGAGGGTGCTCCCAGTCTTCCTGGGGAGGGTCCTCTCACCTCTTGCTGTCTTTCCTGTTCATGCTTCCTGGTGGGGGGAGGGGGTCTTGCCAAAGTCTGGCTCAGTTCTTCCTCCTCCCCAGTGCTCCAGCTTCTTAGCCCCTTGGGAGCTGGGGCCTCCTCTGGTGCTTGGGAAGGAAAGAGGAACTTCCCCTCCCCACCCAGCCCCAGGCCAGGGGGAAGGAAGAGGCTGGGGAGAGACCAAAGGTCCCCCCTCCCCCCACACGGGGATCCCTTCAGGCTGAGGTTTCCGGTGCTGCCAGCCCCCACCCCCAGGCGCCCAGCGGGCTCTCTATCTCCCCCATCTTTTCTGTCTCGAGACCCGAGATTCTCTGTTCCCTCACTGGTCTGTTCTGTCGCTGTCGTACTTCAATGAGAACAGTTCTTTTGTTTTTTCTTTAAGTACGCCCAATATGACACATTTATGCGAAAACACGTACTCAGAAGTCGGTATTTCTACAAGGACATGTTCACGTATGTAATACACAAAGGTGTGAGTGGAAAGTCACAAGACATGGTACTTCGTATATTTCTTATGTTTCTTTTATTCCTGATTTTAGTTTTAATGAGACCATTTGTGTCCCAGAAAACATTTTTACTTTATTACCTTTATTGTGACAAACCCTGAGGCAGCGCCTACTGTATACCACACAATGTTACAGGGGCTTTAAAAAATCAACTAATTTAATCACGACAGAAACTTAAAGACTGTTATTTTATTGTGAAAAACATTATAGATGGATGTAAACCCTCTGGGGAGCCCCTTCCCCGTCTCACTGTCCCTCTTAGGCAGGGGACCCATAGCACATATTGCTGGGGTACATCTGCTCTGTGAGCTATGCATTTGTTGAGGTACATAAATACACGCTCCTAGAAACAGACTCTTCTTTCGAGTATGTGTTTTTTTTCCTTTTACCTAAGTGTGTCATGCTTGACATATTTTTAAGTTGACGTACAAAAAAAAAAGCGCAGATCATACGTGTGTAGGGTGATGAATTGTGATAAGCTGAATGTGTCTACGTGACAGTCACGAAGTCAAGAAACAGAACATTCCCATCCTGCACGAGCCCCCTGCATAAGCCCCAACCCAGCGCCTACCTCCTGAAACTTACCAGTAGCCTAATTTCTAGCAGGGTAGTTTTGCCTAGTTTCAAGCTGTTGATAAATGGAATGATTTATTGTGTCTGACTTCTTTTATTTAGTCCTGTTTTCGTGATGCTTTCATGTTATGCCTGGTTGTAGTTTATTCCTTTTTGTTACGGTATAGTCTTCCTTTGTGTGACTATTCCATGATGTATTGATCAATTTCCCCGTAATGGACAGCTGAGAGGCTTCTGGCTTGGGGCTATTGTGACTCAGGCTACTGTGAACATTCTAGCACCTGTCTTTTGCTGAACGTTAAAGGGTGCAGTTCTGTAGGTAGATACCCAGGAGTGGAATAAATAGGTCAGAGTAATTAATATGCTTCTGCCAAACCTAGGATGTTAGTCAATTCAACCAAAGTTCTCTTAGAAGTATATTTTTACTCCTTTCTTTTTTTCACTAAAAGAAGTCACCATGGACTTTTTTTTTCATGCCAGAACATTTAGACAAGCACAGAGCTCATTCTGTTTAGCTTTTCCATTACGTGATATACCGTATGCTCTCAGGCCCTCTCTCTCTCTTCCTCTCCCTACCTCTTTACCACCCCCCGCCCCCCCAGTCTCAAGCAGTGCCGTCCATGATGTGCTGTCTGTCTGTCAGCCTGTCTCCCTAGTATCTGCGAGGTGATGTAACACTGTTGGCGGAGTCTAGCTTGTGGTGTCTCCACACCCCTCCTCCTCCCCCAGAAGT